AGGTTTGAATTCAAGTCCCTCACTTGACATCTTCCTAAGACCCTACATAAGTTACTTAAGTTCTCTGAGCCTCAGTTTTCTGTCTCTAAAATGCGAATAGTAATATCTACCTTCTAAGTTTATAGTGAATATTGAAAATGAAATAACTTACATGAATTTCTTGCTTTGCAATATCACCCACATAAAGGCTTTTCCAAATATTTGTTTAATTCTATTTACATATCTTACTCTATTTCCTTCCAAAGCAACCTTCTCCTTTTGGTCTTTTGAATCTCTTTTTTTGTGTGTGTGCGGCAAAATAATTAATTAGTTAGCAAAAAACTTATTAAATGCTTTCTCACTAAACAAATAAACCACCCAAATAGATTATAACTAAAACAACAAGAACTAATGTTCATTGAGCTTTTACTATGGCTCTGATCTAAGTGCTCTATATGTATTATGTCATCTAATTCTCTGAACTCTTGAGGTAGATATAAGTACAGTAATGACCACATAATGACATTTCAGTCAATGATGGACCACATATATGACACTGGTCTTATAAGATCATAATGGAGCTGAAAATTTTCTATCACCTGTTGACATTGTAGACATTATTTATTAAAAAATAAATTTAGTGTAGCCTAAGTGCATGGTGTTTATAAAGTCTACAGAAGTGCACACTCATGTCCGAGGCCTTCACACTCACTCACCACTCACTCACTGAACTCACCCAGAGCAACTTCCAGTCCTGCAAGCTCCATGCATGGTAAGTGCCCCATACAGGTGTGCCATTTTTATCTTTTATACCATATTTTTACAGTACCTTTTCTACATTTAGAAAAGTTTAGATACACAAATGCTTATCATTGTGTTATAACTGCCTACAGTATTCAGTACAGTAACATGCTGCACAGGTCTGTAGCCTAGGAGCAACAGGCTATACCTTATAGCCTAGGTGTGGAGTAGGCTATACCAACTAGTTTGTGTAAGTGCACTACATGCTTTTTGCACAAGGATAAAATCACCTAATGATGCATTTCTTAGAACATGTCCCCGTTGTTAAGCAATGCACGATTGTAATCCTATCTTATAGAGAAGGAAACTGAGATCAGATAGTTTACTGAGGTTAGTCATTTGTTCGAAGTCACAAAGCTGATAAGTGGTCAGCCCAGGCAGTCTGACCTCAAAATGTATATGTGCTAATGCTATATATCCTCAAAATACTGGTGGTGGGGGTTATGAAGGGAGAAGCTACAGAAGAAGCAAGGCCCTCAAATACAAATGCTAGAGAAGCCACATTCACCAATATTTGTGAAATAAACAGAGCAATAAAAGAGAGCAGTTCTTTCTTTTCATACCCTCTTAACTACTATGCAAGGTATTATGTATTATGCTTTGCAGTATTATGGGACATGAGCAAGAGTTTTTCATAATTCAGACCCCTCCAAGGAAGCAAATCTGTTTTTGATCCCCCAACCCAGCCCTTTTGCAGAAGAAAATGCCTAGGAATGGTTGACAAATTCAGCAATGAAAGAATTAAAGAAAAAAAAAAACTATGCTATCTACCCTAAATGAATAATTGTGCAGTATTTGCACATATTGAATCAACACACTGTGCCCCACAAATATGTATGAGTAAATGTTAAAATAAAAAAAAAATTAAAAGTGGGCAATTTGAACATCAGAAACAGCAAGGAGAAATTTGCATTGGATCTTGCTTAGAATGAAATTTATTCTCTTACTGAGAGTATTACAACATGATTTTGATCAATATAACTACCTGAAAACAATGGATATCATGGAAGTAGTTTTATACAATGAAACATGTTGATAACTTGCAAACCCAATTATTTGAGGTTTAGCACGGATATTACTAGTAGAGAGCAATTGCTTTCTACTGGATTTTTCTCTTGATGGAATGCAAAACTGTGTATAGATTTCCTCAACTGTTCAAAGTTATAAACTGGGATTTACCAAAGAGGGGAAAATGTTTCAATATGGTATTATACACATATTATTTTTTTTATTTAGCTGATTCCATTTTAAAGTACTTCTAGATGTTTCAGGGCAATAAAAAGGAAAACCAAATAGTCAAATCAGAAAAAACAATTTTACAAGCAAGTATTGTATTTCTGCTCTTTCCCTGAAAACCAAATCTATCCTAAGAAAAATTCTATTTTGAACACGATCGAAACTTTATGAGTATTGAATTTCCATGCCATTTCATAGATTTCAAATGGAGAGATAAACTGAAGCGTAGCAGGGCTGCAAATGACATTGTTTAGATAAACGTGTCTTGTCAGAATTATCTTGGTACCAGAATTAGAGGCTCCAGGCATATTTGGAACTAAGATTCCAGTTTAGGATCTTAATAAACAACATGACATGTCTCAACAGACACTTGATTCTGAGAAAATGCTTTTTTGAACCATATGGATTAGAATCTTTCCATTATGCTGCAAATATTTATAAAGGCATTCATTCCTACAAGACAAAAGCTTAGAAAGGCAGAACTATTCAAATCACTGGATATTAGCAGAGAGATACAAACTTGCCTTCCAGTCACTCAATTTTAATTTACGTCATGAAAAAAGTTAATGCAATATCAAAAAAAGATTGCAAGGGATAATGAAAAATGTTTAGACAATGTTGAACAGATACTGTAAAATACATTAGTGTTATTTTCCCCTTAGGGAAAAAAGAGAAGTTATTTTTCATTAATAAAATAACAAATAACTTTCCACATAGCACGTTCAGATTTGCATAAATATCTTTGCCAAATTTCCATATTTCTCAAGCAAAAAACAGATGACTTACTTGTGCAATGGGAATTCAGTCTCATACTGAGTAAACTACTCAGTAAGATTCATTGTTTGGGCCAGTGTGTTGCAACCTGGTGGAGAACCCTCATGATTCCAGTTTGGAATCTGCTACATCAATTGAATGGCTCTCTATGTTGGTCACTGCCAAGCAATTTTTCTTTTGCCTTGCTGAATATAGAAATGGCATTGTATAATTTACACAGACTTATAGAACTTAAGTGTATTCTTCCTTGTCCAAATTAGGTATGAAAGAGATTAACTAGTTTCTTACCGAATCTGTTTCTCTCCTTTCTGGGCTCAACATTGGACAATATTTTCCAGCTTCCCTTGCAGTTTGGTGTGGCCATGTGACAAGTTCCAGCCAACAGACTATGAACAAAATTAATGTCCACCACTTCCAGGTTTGGCTCATGACATATTCCCATGAGCAACACTTGTTTGTCATCTGCCCATAAAATGAATAGGACTCTGATGCTCTGTACACAAAAGACTGAGGGAGCTTGGACTCCTGAATGACTTCATAGAGGGCTGCTTATTTTTGACTGTACCAGAATAAAAAGTAAGCTCCTACTGTAGTAAGCCACCAAGATTTGGGAGCTTACCTGTTACAGTGCCTGTTACCTAACTACACATTAGCATATATCCAAATTCACCGTTCGAGCAACAATAAAGAGTTAAATTTTCAAAAGTGAGAAAAGCTTATTTTAATTAACAATCAGTGTAACCGAAAAAGGAAATGTCTTTAGGAAGTAAATCAAAACATACATAATTGCAGACCAAAAAAATATTTAGTCCTAGTGATTAAGGTTATTAACAAAAACAACAAAACAAGATGGGAAGTAGTAAACATATTAGAAGGAACACAGACTAAAGAGACATTTGCAAATTCCAAGCTCTGTTCTTTGCTTGTTTTGTAAGCTTGAGAAATTTGATTAACTGTTCTTGAAACCTGTTTCCTCAACTATATAATAGGGATTATGAAATACAGCACACAGGATTCTGTAAAGATTTTATACACACACACACACACATACACACACACACCTACCTGATACTTAGAAAGTATGCAATAAATAGTAGCTATTATCACGAAGTACTTACCTAATATGCACAAGTGTGACCAATAATATTTTTAAAATATTAACCCTTTATTGTGATTACTCTTTCCCCTCTCCCATCATATTGGCAGCTATGCATTCTGCTTCCATTACCTTAGGGAAGGATTAACACAGCAGAATGCAAATTATAAGGATATAGATTCATGGTTTTTGAGTTTCAAAAGCCTAGGCCTGGTATAAGACAAAATATTTGGAAGAAACAAAAAGATGAGACCATTCCTGCACAATGAAAGATTCTTCTGGTTGTGGGAAGGGAAATGAGGAGGCACTGCAGAGGAAGAGAGAAAACAATATAAATGTGTGTCCCTGGAGAGAAGGTAGGTGGAGAAAAGGGAGGAAACCTAGGGAGATTCCAGAGAATTTGATAGAAGAGGTGATCTGGGCCTCATTCCTGAGGGGAGCCTCTGCGGAAAACTGGATGGAGAGTAGTTTCCCCACCTTCTTCCTCTATGCCTCTCCCGACCACATGCACACCCACTGACACCACACATAGGCATTCTGCATCATTCCGTGTAAAGGAAAAAAGAGCACGCACCAATGTCTAGGCAGGTGGGCCTTAGACAGCCTCCCAAAGTTCCCACCCACTCCAGTATGGCATAAGGAGTGGTACAATGATTTCTCATATTATACAATGGGGGCATCAAAGTAGCAGAGAGTCGTCCAGATCCGCAAGTACCACTGCAGACGGGACTGAAACATGGCTCAGGAAGCCACCACCTGCTTGGACCAACAACTGACGATCTGAGAGACTGGCCTCTCCATGGATGCCAACTCAGAGAGATGACAACTAAGGAGCAAATGTTCTGCCACACTATGCTCACCACACCCACCACTCTATGCCTTGCAATTATATAAGCCCTAAATTGATGAAAATTGTATTTCTTCTATTCAGCTGAATTGCATTCGGTTATTGAAAGAAAACATTAGGACTGAAAATCTTATTCAGTACAATAGTTATCATTTACAATTCTTTCACACTGTTTTTATAAATGTGATGGGGTATATGAACTTAAGTTGTTATTGAAACTTTCCATGCATCTTGCTTTGAGTTTCTTATGCCTGCTGAAAGACTTACTTTGATCAGTAATGATTGTTCTAGCTTCTTGATTGCTGGTCTTGTTTTTCAGATTCTGGGCAGCAGTAATGAGTTCTTCCAACTGGGGATGCCTCTGTTCCAAATCCTGCAGTGTGGCCTGAAAGAACAAATACCACTTAATATTGGGTTTTCCAGCATTGTGCATTCCTTTTACATAATACAAAGTAAAGTACAGTTTTTAAACCAGCCAAAACACTTTTAGAAATAAAAAATATGTTACTAGATATAAATCTGTACTGTGTAAAGGTTTATAGAAAACAATTTAGCAAGAAATGGGTTTCATTTTTAGACACGAAAATACTTCAAATGAAAATCTTGATTACAGATTTGCTTCACTATTTAAGAGCTTAGATAGAGTCATTTCAGAATATCTGGGTTTACTTAAACCATCATATGAGTGCCATGAGTAAGAAAAGCAATTCTGAATTATGACAATGTATTTAAGAGAAGGATAGCTATTTACACTTGTAATCTCATTCTGTGTGGTGTTAAAACTAAAATGCATATTTATTTCAGAAACAGAAAAAAGCACAAAAGTGATTTAAGAAATATTACTTATTTAACTTCTGTCTACCTGAGATTCCTCACCTATAAAATGACAAGGTGAAGTAAATGAGCTAAATCAGTCTTTCCCCAAAGTCTCCTGACCACAACAATCATCAAATTCTTTTGCCCCATCACAGAACTAATGAATTAGTAGGGGAAAAGGCTGAGAATATGCATTTTTAACAAATCCCTTACTTTTATGATTAGGCAAGCTTGGAAAGCATCAGACTACATGCTATTATTCATATTCTTCTGTTTTATAAATGATTTTGATTAAATACTGCATTAGATAAAAATACCAAATAGAAGAAAGCCAATGAATTTTTTTTATTTATAGGCAGCAATGTTAATCATTAAGAAATTCCTCCCTCCCTTAAGCATCCATTTATTGTCTCTTTTATCATTGTCTCTCTACACTAATGGGTCAAAATCCCAGAGATATTTACAAAGAAATTTTTGAAAAATAAAATCTGCCTTGTTCTGGTTCTAAAACGAAATAAATTTTATTTTAATTGGGGAAAGTAAAATTAATATTTACATTAGTTTATAACTACTATGTGACAGATGTTTTAATATTTTCTCATTTTTATTCTCCTAATAACTATACTAATAACCAAGCCAGAAGTCTGCATGATTTTAAATATGATGCTCTTTCTACTACCACATGAGGCTGATGAAAGTGAAGAGATGAAATGTGGTAGATAGTAATGTTTATGAAACTTATCTATTTTGCCCTTTGGCTCTTGCTGATTTTCTAAGGATTTTTGGTTTTGGACAGGCAACATTTTGATCATTCTGTAGTGTTTCCTTTGTGCAGAAGTACAAAGATAGGCTTTGTGATTTAAGCTCAATTGCTTTTGGTAACAGTAAAATAATGGGAAAAACTCATCCAAACATTGTACATCAATCTTGAGCATTTCCCCCTCTGTATTGAAAAATTGGAGGGCTAACTTTTAACAAATTTTCCACAATTTTAAGCTATGATTGCTCAGAAGAAAAATCCAATTTTCAGGTTTCTAACTTTTATGGTGACTTTACACAAAAGGGTGTTTGAAATATGGAACAAATTGCCAAAGACAGCTATTGAAGTAAGTGGCATAAGTCAGATGGAGAGTGCTGAACAAATTTTAAAGTAGGAACTATATAGTGGCAGACAGACTTTTACAAAATAAGATGTTTTCCAGGATTAGAATGTTAAACTCTGGTCATCTTTGACACAGCAAGCTGAAAAGCTGCTTTGGGAACTGCCTGCTCTTAAATGCTTAAATATGTATATTCAGTAGACATTTTTAAAAATAGACGTACTCAGAAACCTCAGAAAAAGTCAAATTTCCACCTCAAATTTAACAAAGAACTTTAAATACACATAGCTAGCGAAGTACATAAATTCATTCATTAATTTACATCATTTATTTATTTTAATAAATATTTTTCAAGTACTAGGTACTGTTCTAGGTGCTATAGGTTTAGCAGCGAACAAATGTATTAGGTGTGATGTATAATTTAAGTAAAAAACTGTTTTTTGATACTTGGAAATTTTTTATATAACAAAGATTATTTTTATTAGGTTATTTTTATTTGACTTAATATTAATTCAGCTTCAAACAGTCAGACTATTCTTTGCTTCTCAATTTTAGATACATTAGTCAATGTTTGCTATACTTTTCCCCTTTCTTTTAGGATTTCAAAGTTCATTTAAGAAGTATGCTGTAAAAGTAACTTGGTCAACTTTAATCTTAACCTTACCAGGCTCTAAATTAAACCTGACCACAATGAATAGCTTTTACTGCCGAAATTAGCAAGCATGTCAATTTAGACTTAAAACAAGCCATTTTCTTCTCTAATGAACAAAATAGGTCTCAGGGTACTGTGAAACCTGTTCTCTAGTTGGGTGATTCTCTAATTCTGCTGAGACACAAGCTTTGTAAGCACCTGAGAAGATTATTAATGACATTCTTTGATGCAGCCTCCTTAAAAAATCTAAGGAGATTCACAGCTGCAATATAACCATCCATCTGTAAAGTATTCCAAAACAAAATTGCAACTCTTTATCTAACTTTTTGATCAACACACACAAACATACATTTCAAAAAAGAAACTGTAAAATAATAATGTATATTGCTATGGAGTTTATCACACATTAATATGCCCTTTACTTAGTGGTTTCTAAGTATAGCAAAATGGGAGTTTTCTCTTATGATCTCCTTTCCAGAAATAAAGGGAAGGATTTGAATATGGCACACAATGAGTAATTTTTCATTAAGATATTATACAAACAGTAACTGAAACACTTTCTTGCTAATGAATAGAAAACAAGCATACAGTGAGAGCAAAGATTATTTTTTCTTTTCATTTGGTTTCCTATTAAGTGCATTCTATTTTAATCTAAGTTACAATTTCTTTGACTTGACCACTTAATTTTATAATTCCATAACTTCTCAAATACAGTGACTTCATCTCTATTCTATCGGGCCACCCACAGATGAGAGAACACTTTAGATCTAATCATTACTCAAACTACCCCCTTCCAAAATACCCATCTATGAAATTCTATTCTCTGCCCCCAATCTGCTGCCCTTATCAGATGCTACTCTCTCAAATACACTGTTCCTACTTTAATCTTCATCCTTATATGACCTCTGGTCCTCTTCTATCATTCTATTTACTCATTCTAGCTTTAGTCATAATAAACAAGTAGAACGCTAGTTATGCTTTTTTATTTCTCTGATATGAGCCCACGTATTTATGACACATATAAATGACATGAACAAAACTAAAGCCATTACATGCTTAACAGTACCTAAGCATGATGATTGATCAAATCTACATGGATTCTATCATTCTGGAAGAAACAAAACGCAGGAGAAGGAAGGGATTGATGCTATTTCTAAGGAGTCACAAGCCAGCTACTGGGCTTTACAAAAAACAGCTTACCCCTTGGAGATGAGAATTCATCATGGATTCTACTAGCTGAGCAAAGATGGAGGAAAAAAAAAAAAATCTTCAAATACAAAGTGAATCAGAAGTCTGTAATCCTACTAAGTCCCCCCCCGGGGTAGAAAGAAGTGGTTATAAATAGTAATCCTATGGAAAAGGAAGTTAAACAGTAAAAGTATACATACTATAAGTAGGTCATTTTAGGCTCTTACAAAGAATTATAATTTGGTATCGTATTTGTCAAAATGAAATTCCACCTAAATAATACCCAAATACAGAACTCTCTATGTTGAGTTGAATATTCAGTGTTTCTATGTCTAAGAAAAGACTTTAACAACCAAACTCATTACATTTTTTATATTTTTCTATAAAAATATACAATCTTCACGTTGTTACAATTATAACAAAGGCCCATGGTGATTGTCAATTGTGCCATTTGAAGAAAAATAATATAAATTAAACCAAAATGTAATAATGTAGGACCTTATAGTATTTTATGTACAACTTTAAAAATTAACATTAAAGATAGACGAGGTAAAATAGTTTATAAAACCATTTTATGTATGGAAGAAAGTCACACAGGTACTAAAGTTTAGCCTTTCTAGTAACTGAAAGGTTTTTACCTGTTAGGATGCTAATCATTTGTCTAGCTTTCAACTGCTTCGCTGAGCACCTACATTCTGGCTTCTGTTCTCGCATTCAGCTGCCTCTCCAGATAGGCCAAATCCAAAGTCATCTTTATTGCCCTCCTCTTTTCACTTCTCATTTACATTTTAGACTGGCTTGGATATTCTTCTACTTGGCATACCTTTTCTGCTTCTTCTCTGAATGTTCTACCAGTACTTCCATTGGTAACTTCTTCATAAACACCTTCTAACTGTGGTTATCCTTTTATCCTTTATTCATTACATAAATACTTTTTAAAAAATATTTTATTTTTATATAATTTCAAACTTACAGAAAATTTGAAAAAACAGTCAAAGAACTCCCATGTACCCTTACCCAGACTCACCGATTTTTAACATTTTGCCATGTTATATTTATCATTTACCATTCTATAATTCTCTCTCTGTGTATATACATATAATGTCTGTATATTTAATATTATGTATATAATTTTCTGAACCATTTGAGAATAATTTGCAGATATCATCCCCCTTTACCCTTAAATACTTAAACACTTTTTCTTAAAAGTAAAGACATTTTCTCACATAACCTTAGCTCAATTTCAAAGTCAGGACATTTAACAAGGCTACTACAATCTTATACACACGAAGAAGAGTATGACAATTACCCCATTAATGACCTTTATCACTACAATTTCATTTCCTGGTAGAGGCTTATGCATTGCACTTTAATCTGAAATAGTTATTTGCCCTTCTTTGAACTTCATAACATTGATAATTTTGAAGAACAGAAGCCAGGTATTTTGTTGAATGTCCCCTAATCTGAGTTTCAGCAAATATTTTTTAGTGCATCTGTTACGTCAGTCATTGAGCTAGGCACAAAGAATATAGCACTGAAGGAGAAAAAATTTCTGTTCTCAAAGACTGAAAAACTAGTAGTGAGGACAGGCAGTAAATAAGCATTATAATAAACTAAGGTGAGAATTTT